CCTGGCCGACTTAAACCTTGTTAAGTACTCCATTGGAGACTCGTCGGATGCTTGAGCCATCCTGGCCAGGGATGATACGGATATCTCCATCCCTGGCCGATAGAATTGTTCATGGAATTTTTCGACCAACTCTTCCCAACTCTGCACAGAATTGGGTGGAAGATTAATGTACCAGGCGAAAACTGAACCTGTCAGTGAAAAATTAAACAAACGTAGTTTGTAGAAGTCGCTATTGACGTCTCCACACTGCGCTGTGAACCGAGCCACATGTTCTAATGAGGATAAAGACGACTCCCCGGCAAAGAGGCTGAAATCAGGGATCTTAAATCCTCGTGGGTATTCAAACCTTTCTACATAAGCCGGGTATGGATGAATGAATTTTGGGAACTTCGGCCCTTTCTTCAGGGCCGAATCAATCATTCTCTGGACTTCGGTCATGTTTACGGAAGCGGCTTCTTCTCCCTGGCTTGGTCCCTCGGATCTATTTCCTGGTCTACCTCTTCTTTCTAAGGTGATTGGTTGCGGTCGGGCGGGCCCTCTCTCGGCTGGTATTGGCACATTCGTCGAAATCTGCCGAGGTGGGCCGACCTGGCCATCTTCGAAAGCTTTACTAACCAATAGTTCGAGCATTCTGGTCTGTGTATCGCTGTTACTATGTATTGCTTCTAGCAAATCATTCATCTTCTGACCGATCGACTGCTCGACCTGACGATATTGTTCCTCCAGTCGTCGCCGAAGGAATGTCCTCGTTGGTGGATCGGAACCTTCCCCACCATCGTCATCACAATCTTCCACAATCCCTTCCATGAACATTCCAGCTGTTTGATTCGGGACTGCGGGGTTGCAAGGTTGCCCGCCGAGACAGACTTCATTCTCTCGGCGTGTTACACTTGTGGCCTCGGGCGGCGCAATTATGATCGGATTTTTTGTAGAGTGCAAATCCTGCCCAAGGCCTTGCACTGGTAAGTCAGTTGTTGACTTTCCCATGGTTGTTTTCTGCTTCGTAGACCGTGTCTCAATGGTCATGAACTCCGAAGGTTTAGCACAATGGTCCCACTGGGCGTGCCAAAATGTTGAACCTAAAAATTACAAAACCTACGTGGCGCGCAGGCCGAGTAACTAATAAGCTAACTACGTCCTTCGGTCGAATGCAGGGCGTGCCAACTCGTCGGCCGAGCCTGGCCGAGGAGTAAAATTTGTTGATGTAGCTTTGAGCGCGTTGCTGACTTCTTTAACTTGCGATTGCGACCGAGGAAGGAACACTCTCGGTCTCTGGGTTCTACAGCCTGAAGACAAGGCTGCTAATTCTGCGGAGTTCACAAATCGTCCGAGCCCGATTCGGTCACTGTGATTATATTCGTGAGAGTATAAGCACATCGAATCGAGACCAAGGTGTATGGGCACAGGTACTCGAACGTGATATATGTCTTGATGGTAAATGTAGTTCGGCCGTCGGAATGCCGAACCCTGAAACTCACCTGTGAGTATCCAATCATAAAACCACTCGGCGACCAGTACGCCGAGCAATGCAATTCGTAACACCTAACTATGCCGAGAAAGCTTAGTAAGGTGACCTCCGCCAACAAAGGTTCGAAAACCTTCCTCGACCGAGACTTGGATAGATAATCGGTCGACCTCGACGCAGTGCTGTTTATCCAAACTGAAGATGCTTCTTGGTCGGCTGATTCTGCGGCAGCAGTGCTGTTTATCCAAACTGAAGGTGCTCGCCGGTTGCTTCCATAGTGCTGTTTATCCAAACTGAAGGTGTGTCGGCAGGAAAAAGGAAAGGAAAAAATCTCAAGATGATTGAGAGGTTTTGCGCAGGGCAATTGTATGCTGAGTTGAAGGTCCCTCTAATGTTGCATGATCTCGTGTATTTATAGTACCCCATTCCTTGAAACCTCCTCTGATTTGGATTGGGAGTCCTTGTCCCATTTTGATTCTGGTTCGAACAAACCTACTCCCACTGGGATTCTGAATCTTCCTCCCTTTGAGGCTTTATTTCTTGCTGGTCGAGAATCCTGGTCGCACCAGGATTTCCTCAATCCTTCCTATTTATCTGGACCTCTTGAGATAGGATTCGGCTGACCCTGCCAGCTGGCCCGGGTTTTATTATCCGGCCCATAGCATCTGTTATTACCTTGGGCCGAGCACATACGACTGCTCGGCCTGCCCAAGATATTTTGGGCCCAAACAGCACCTCAATTTTCGAGCAATTACAATGATAAATGTCTTATTTGCACGATAATCTGAACGGTTTATTTTTTAAAAAACTAATGAAAAAAATTTGAAAATTTTGAGTTTTAACGATAATGATAAAATAAAAGGTAAAGTGAATAATACCATGATTGACACTTTTAGTGTAAAAAATTAAAAATGTAGTTTTTCATTAAAGTGAACAGTACCGAGAGCTTTTCGTTAAAATTCCAATTTTATTTAGGTCACTCGTCAAATAAGAATTAATCAATCTATAAAATATGTTATTCAGGTGAACATTAAAATTTTGACAACGTTAATTAAACGGTAAAATTATTTTTGATTTTATTGTTTTTCTCTCTTTCAAATTTGATCTTTAAAAGGTGAACTAAAAAGTAAACGATTCTAATAATTGCAAAGTATTGTAGGATGGGAAGGAGTGTCGCCAATAATCGAGAAAGAATGAGTTAGAATGACAGTATAATCATGTGATCTTGCAACAAAATTCAAAAATATTTTTTAGCTGGTGACTTTGCCACAACAGTCCACGTCCCTTGTGGGGCCAAGAAGACTTACAAAAGTGTTTCAGTTTCCCCACCATCATTGTGTGGTTCACTAATGCCAGCAATCGAACACATGACCTACCATGTATAATAGAGGTATGAAATTCGTCCTAAACTATTAAGTTACCCCTTGATGGTTAATTAGATTTTATAGGTTGGTAATGTGTACGTATTATCTGTTAGTCACACAATCCCTATACCTCTCTCATTATATCATAGTAGATCAAATTTAGCTCTTTTGGTGAAGAGTTGATGATTTGTTGTACAAATTAGTACTATACTTCTTTTCTTTAGGCGACTAATATACATCTTTACATGCAAAAGAGATTTCAGATTTGATTCACCTAAACGACAAGTGCAATATCTAACCATTATGACTTGTTTAGTATGTGAATAATAATTTTTTCCTTGAATTTCAAGCGATTTGTGGGACGAAAAAGAAGAGAGTGAAAGAAAAAGAAATAACATACACAATGAGGAAAGAAGCAGGAGGATCTAGGAAGCGGAAGAAGCCGTGGGACTGGGACGATCCCGAAACATGGAGGATCGGTGGAAGACTGCCTTTCCTGTTGGAACAGCACGGATGATCAATTGGAGTAGGTTTATAACCACGAATATGTTAGAAAAATTAGAGTGTAATTGCTATATCAATTACATAGAAAACAAGAAGTAGTCATGCAACTAAATACCAAATTTAATGTGTACTCATAATTAAAAAAAAAAAAAAAAACGATAACATACAATGTTGATGCACATGAAAATGGATTAGAAAAAGATGAAAATAGGTCGAGGCAAATGTTAGCTTTTTTTTTTTTTTTTTTTCTTAAGACAAGTTTATACCCGACTAGTAGCTAGCGACTTCTAGAACCTTGACTCATGGTTGATCGGCACTTTTCGTTCTAGGACATAACGAACGAGCCCTTGTAAGAGTAGCTCTTCAAACCACTAGGCTCCAGTGAATCACGATTTTATTCAACATTCTCTCATATGGACTCAATGAGACATCTAACTAAAATTGTCGTGGTGACGAAACGAAGTTGAATTGGTTTAAGGAGTTCCCACTTGAATAGTTGATACAAGAGGATGAATTTTTAGCTACGGAGAAAAAGGAATACTTGATAAGTTATGTGAGGGAGCAGTTATTGGAAGCGAGGGAGGCGAAGAATCGACAGAGAATTGCTAGGGACAAAAAGATTTACAAGTTCTACACCCTGCAAACACCGCATTTTCCTCCTCTCACTGTCCAAAGGTATTCCTACATCAGCTTCTACCGCCTCGACGCTCATGAGGTTCTCTAAAATTACTATGGCCAACTGCTATATTTGCTGAACTGTTGGAGCGAGAATTCTTACATGAAGAAATTCCTTCACAGATTCGTTACTGTAACCCGCACGTAAGTCGAATTCCTCGTTAGAAGCGTCCTCGAACGTCCTCTCTTTGAAGTTTCATTTGGAGTCGGGGTACTTGCAAAAGATACTAAGATACTCCGACACTCAAGTCAGTCAATTGAATTGCTATTCTCTAGTCCAGGAGTTTCGATCACCTCCTTTATTCTCTGATTCCTCTCCCTTTTCATGGAGCTCTGGTGCTTAGGAAACAAGTTCTTGATGTTTATTTACATCTACCGGGCTTTAGTTTAATTTACTCAATTTTTGATCAAATATGTATGTACGGAAAATCTAGCACCTTTGCTGCAACATTGACATGTAACAAGTTTAGTAACGAAAACTAAACAAAAGTTTTCAAGGCGACATTTTCTAATTTATATGAATGAATTAGCTAGACCATTTTCGGAGAACATTGAGTTTTCTTTTATCGTGTCAAATACAAGTACTTATAGTGCAATGTAAACTACCTTAACCACTTGAGTTACAAACCTTTTACTCGAAAAACAGTTTTATATACACTGTAGGACAAAAAACACGGATTTTAAAGAAAACAATAGCACTGAAAATGAGGTTTCAAGAGTCGTGGTCGCCAAGGTGGAACTGCACGGCAATTCTGCTGTACATTTTCAAATTTTCCTAGTAAGCGTACGACTTTGAAACAAAAATCCAGAGACATCTTAATCAATAATGTCTGACTAATTACGAAATACATATCAAACAACAAATATAAATGTCTATAAAGTCTTTGATAGTAAGAATTCCGAAATGTCTATGTTGTCGGCCATGTAAAGTCTTTCTGTAAGTCACTTTCCAACGTTATATATTTCTAACTTGAAGAAGGGACAACGCTTACCATCTTATTAAGAATTCCTGCTTTCCCCCTTGATAAGTAGATGCATATTAAATGAACACGCACACACACAAACATATATAAATATAGTCCGTTTACAGCAGCTCCATCTCATTGTTTCCCAGGTACATAAAAAGTGGTTAATCCCAAAATTTGAAGATTATGGTCAAGCAAAGAATGGGAGAGGTCCTAACCGAAGAACAGATTGTTGAGTTTCAGGAAGCTTTCTGTCTTTTTGACAAGGATGGAGATGGTTAGTTTGATCTTCCTAATTATTCTATGTTTACATGTAGCAAATGATTAAAGAAACTCAGGGAGGTTATTATGTATTATCCGTTCCATGCTTAAGTTTTAATACATGATATACACATACTTAATTATGCCCCTAAGCTAGCTCTTAGACTCAGTTTTTGTAATTAAAACAAAATTAAGGCAGGCTGTACGTTTAGCAGCCCTTGATTACAAATTATTTCGGTCAGTTTCTGGACACCCTGCAGCTCCACCATGCGCGATCTTCGATATGCTTGAATGCTTTGATGTTATGGCAGCTACTGCAGTTAAGCTTGATTAATAGTAATTCAATACTATCACACATTCACATAGATTTATTAATTTTCAGACAAACATCATAAGTAATTGCTTTAAATTATTCATGTTCATATGTATGTATAAATTGGTGTGTTAATTTAAAATTTGTTAGGCTGCATTACTATTGAAGAACTTGCCACTGTGGTTAAATTGTTGGATCCAAACCCTACGGAAGAAGAATTGCAGAACATGATAAGTGAAGTTGACGTTGATGGGAACGGAACTATAGAGTTCGGGGAGTTCTTGAATCTCATGGCAAGAAAGATGAAGGTAAATTAATTAGTTTGCATATTTTAGTGAACGTACTTGATTGTTTTCCCAACCAATAACTAATCTTCTGACATAGACAAGTTTTACTTGTTTGCGTGTTAAATAATGTGTTAATATATAGGAAAATGACGCGGATGACGAATTGAAAGAAGCTTTCAAAGTTTTTGACAAGGATCAGGATGGCTACATTTCACCTAATGAGGTTGAATAACTATATTCTCTATCCCGTTGACATATTATTATTGAAAAAATAAGAACTTATTTCAAGGCACGTTGCTAATGAGAGGCTTTGCCATTATATAAATGAAGATCAAAGTTCTAGCAATCTAAGATATCCTAAATTTAATCTTGACTTTGATTGTGATTCCCGTGTGAATTCAAAGATATCTTAACCAAGCAAAGCGTCCAACAAAATGTGAATTAAGAGCAGAAAATCGATACCCCAGCTCACCAACTTGGACTTATTGCATGAGCTCAACGAGCAGAATATCACACATTTTCAATTTGAAGGATATTTGAACAAAGTTTTAAATAGACGGTTCGAATCTTTGAATTATACCTGCAAAAGGTTACCATGTCTTGCAAGAAAAATGGAGATCCCTCTCCTGAAGCAACTTATATATATTTTTGTTTTAGTTTACTGTGATGATTGTTAACATTAATATCTTTCCTGCAGTTGAGGCATGTGATGGTAAATCTGGGAGAAAGACTGACAGATGAAGAGGTAGAGCAGATGATCAGAGAAGCAGATTTGGATGGTGATGGCTTAGTGAATTACGAAGAATTTGTGAGAATGATGTTAGCTTTTTGATCCATCCATCCATCCATCATCCAGTTATTTAGCCTTCAGCTATTCACCTTGTTCAATCAATGGAACAATATTGTAACTAGACCAGACATATAATACATGAACAATCATTTCGCGTGTACTGAAAAACCAAAAAATGGATTAAGAGCTTTTTGGTATTGCTGTGTTTTGAAAAAAAACTGTTTCTACTATACTGTGAGAATAAGTAGCTATGAAATAAAGCAGCAGAGTGCTTGGTAAATATTTTTCTTAACAAATAATGGTGTGAAGCCAAAAAGGGTATAATCCAGCAGTAACCTCGTAAACATTAACAGAGCATGGGTTAAGCAAAAGCCGCTAATTACTTGCCATGGAAATCCTCAATTGGTTTGAAAAATGCTCTTTGTCTCTCTCTACATACATACATACATACATACATACATACATACATACATACATAGTCTTTTCTTCTGACATGCCACTTCCATCACCAAAACTCACCAGACCCAAAAGAGAAGATCGAAGATCGTGAGCACACAGCCATGACCAAACCCATCTTCTTCTTTCTCTTTCTAGCTTCTCTCATCTTCTCGTCCGATCACTCCTTTTTCACCATTTGCAGTGCAGCACTTGAGGACTCTAATGAAGTTGGTAATACCTCTCTCTTTCTATACACACGTACAAATCAGAAGCAAAGCAGAGCAGAGCTTTATCCTTTCTTATATGCCTAAACCTTAAGATAAATCAGAAGCAAACCTTCTGAAAAAAAATGAATAGAGAAGTAATCAATTTTTCTTACTTCTCTCTCAATTTTTCTTGTTTCCTTTGTAGAAACTGAGAATCTAGAGAGAGATTTCAATTAGAGAGAGAGAGAGAGAGAGAGAGAGAGAGAGAGAGAGTAAAATAAGATTGTGATTTCATTAACATCAACAGATCATTACACAAGGTATTTATGCATAAATATCCTATCCCAACCATATGTGCAAGCTAAGCATAATGTACAACTAATCACTAACCATGCTAAACTTAGTAGCTACGTAATCATCTAATCTGGTACATTGTTGTTTGAGAGGTTGTACACTCAACACACCCCCTCAAGCTGAAGGTAGGAGATTGAACTAAGAGCTTGTGAGTAAGATCTGCAAATCGATCAACATCAAAATACTTGGTAAAAATATCAGCAATTTGAAGAGCTGAAGCAACATGATACTCACCAATATGACCAAGTAAAACTTTCTCCCGGAACATGTTGTGTCCTAGCATGGAAAACAAGATTAAATGCAAGCGCAATTGCACTTTTGTTGTCACAGTATATGGCAGGAGTCTTTAACAAAGGAAATGAGATATCCTGCATAATTTTGCACACCCAGGTTATTTCAGCAGCAATTTGAGCAAGAGACCCATATTCTACTTCGGTTGACGATTTAGCTATTGTTGCTTGTTTCTTAGCACTCCAAGAGATGAGATTAGGGCCTAGAAAAACACAATACCTACTGGTGGATCTTCTGTCCACAGGATAACCTGTCCAATTTGTATCAGACCAAGCAGTGAGGCATTGAGTGCCTTTAATGAACCAAAAACCATAATCAATAGTGCCCTTGAGATATATCAAAATACGCTTGATTGCTTGAAGATGACATGTTGACAAACTTGATTGACAGCAAAGGCTAAATCAGGCCTTGTCCATGTGAGATACTGTAAAGCACCAATTGTGGATCGATAAGAAGTAGGATCAGATAAGAGAGTGCCTGAGTGATTAAGTTTTGAGGTAGACACAGGTGTTGCACAAGGTTTAACTCCAAGCATGTCTGTTTTCTTGAGTAAATCTAAAGCATATTTAGATTGGTGCATAAACACACCCTTGGATGGCCTTTGAACTTTAATGCCTAAGAAATAATAAATATCTCCCAGATTCTTAACAGGAAACATAGCTTGAAGTTTGGAGATGATGGATTGACGCTCAGTGGTTAAACTTCCAGTGATGATTATATCATCAACATAGACTAAGATGAAAGTAATGGAAGTATCTCTTTTGATAAAGATACTTGTATCAGAGTAGGAGGAACTGAAACCTAAAGAGGCAATAGCATTGTAGAAGGCTTCATACCAAGCTCGAGTAGCTTGTTTAAGACCATATAGTGATTTCTTAAGCTTGCAAACATGATGAGGTTTGGAAGGATCCAAAAAACCAGGAGGTTGGATCATGTACACATATTCCTTCAAATGACTGCAATAGATAGTATAATCCTGATAGTAGTAGGTTTTGCAACAGGACTAAAGGTTTCTGAGAAATCCAAACATTCCTGTTGATGAAAACCTTTGGCAACAAGTCTTGCCTTATACCTTTCAATGGTACCATCTGGTTTGTGTTTAACTTTGAAAACCTGTTTGCAACCTACAAGGTTGTAATTGGAGTTGTGTGGAACCAAATCCCAAGTTCCAATCGATTGCAAGACTTGAAATTCATATTGCATAGCTTCCATCTAGTGAGCATGCTTAGATGCTTGGAGAAATGTAGATGGAGTAAAGGGTAACTTTGGGAGAGGATCAACCGTGGATAGAAGGTGGTGTTTGGTTGCAGTAAACACCTTGGGTTTATGAATGCCTGCCTTTGCTCTTGTAACCATTGGATGAGTATTGATAGGAGCTAAAGGTTGTGAAGAAGATGGTTGAGAAGCAGCTGAGGTAGATAAGATAGGATGAGAGGACTCTGTGTTAGAAGAGGCTGTTGATGATGAACTTGATGCCTCTAGGGGAGTTGCAGATGTACGGGGCTTTGCAAGATATAACACAGGCAGTGGAAGAGATATAAAAGCAATGGTGTGATGATGTGAACATGTATTATGAACTGAGACTTAAGAAGTGAGATGTTGATAAGGAAACACAAATTCATTAAATACCACATGTCTCGAAATGTAGAGCCTATTAGTGACAAGATCGAAGCATCTATAACCATAATTCAAGCTATAACCCAGAAATACACACTATTTACTCTTGGCATCTAACTTGTCACTTGCATATGGCTTTAGCCATGGATAACAAGCACAACCAAAAGTCTTTAAAGTATGATACTTGAGAGATGCATGAAATAGACGTTCCCAAGACTAATCACAGAAGACTGATGAGGTAATCGATTAATAAGATATATAGCAGTTTGGAAAGCTTCAACCCAAAACTTTGTAGGTAAACCATTGTGAAATAATAGGGTTCGGCCCATTTCAAAAACATGATAATGCTTCCTTTCTGCACACCCATTTTGCTCAAGAGTGTGAGGATAACTCAACTGATTGGTGATACCTTGATCATTAAGAAAACTTTGTAATGATTTATTCAGAAATTCACCCCCTGAATCAGATCTTTTACATTGAACTTTGAGCTCAAGTAAAGTTTGAACCTTTAAGATAAAAGTCTTGAGAGTGGAAAAGACATCAGACTTAAAGTATAGAGGATAAAGCCAGCTATATTTAATAAAGTCATCCACTATTATTATGTAAAACTTGTATCCAGTACATGAGAATGTGGGAGAAGGACCCCATACATCAGTGTGAAGTAATTGAAGTGGCCTAGTGGATGTACAAGGTAAAGTTGTAAATGGTAGTCTATAATCTTTGCCTAATTGACGAGTTGTGCACACAGACAATTTATTAATAGAACCAATTACAGGCAGATGATTTTTTTTCACCACAGAACTTAAAATGCTAATAGAAAGATGTCCAAGGTGTTGATGCCAAATCTGGAAATCAGCCTTAGTAATCATCAGAACAGTTGGTGAGATTGCAATCCCAGAGACACCATTTGAAGCATTCCAGTAAAAGGGGTACAAGCCTCCTTTACTAGGGCCTTAGAAAAGCATCTTCCCAGTTCTTAGGTCCTTAACATAGAATCCAAATGGATCAAATGTTAGAGAACACCAATTGTCATATACAAACTTGTAAACAGAGAGCAAATTAAGAGATGCCTGAGGAACTAAAAGCACATCATTCAATCTAAAGGTAGCATTATTTGTGCTAATGAGAGCAGATCCAGTATGAGAAATGCACAAACCTTTTCCATCACCAACAAACAATTGATCATTGCTAGAGTATGGAATTACAAAATTGAGGGCAGAAGGGTTAGGTGTGACATGATAAGATACACCACTATTAGTAAGCCAATAGTTAGGAGGGGCAAATGCATTCATAGCAGACATTGCAGTAGGAGCTTGTGCATTCGAGTTCGAGGAAAATTGAGAGAGACGATTGCATGTAGGAGCCCAGTGACCATATTGAAGACATAGTTGACATTGAACAGAGAGCCTAGAGGAGTTGGATTGACTAAATGTCTGACGAGAGGGGCCAGCACCAAGAGTACCACCAAAGTTGTTATGATTCCAGTTGTTAGGTTTGTTTCCCCCAAAATTACGATTCTGATTGTACCGATGTTGATTTTGGAAATGACCATGAGAATTACCCCTGTTCGACTGAGCACTAGAGATGTTAGATTATGCTGCATAAGCATGAAATGGTGCAGCGAATGAGGAAGAAGCTCTGGTTTTGCCTTTTTTTGGAGCTAGATCTCTTTGCTCAATAGAAGGTTATGAAGTTCATTAGCTGTCACAGACTCATTGCAAGTCTCAATAAAGTCAACAAATGACTCATAGTCATCAGGAAAACCAAATAAAATGTATGCAACGAGATCTGATTCAGAAATTGGTTTACTAGCAGCAGCAAGTTTATTAGAGATATCTTTGATCGAACTACGATAATCAGTCATAGAAGAGTCACATTTCTGAATCGTTTGAATCTTTGGTCGAAGGCCGTGAACATGTATACGTGAAGCACCAGAGAACTGATGCTTAAGAGACTGCCAAAGGGAACGAGAGTCTTCCGTTCCAATAGTCAAAGGAAGAAGATCTTCGGAGAGTGTTAAGTTGATCTAGATCATCAGAATTTGATCATGCTCGTACCAGGTCTCATAGGGAGGATTAAGAACACGAGATCCAAAGAAATTGAGAACAAATTCAGGAGGGTAGAGACCCTCACCATTGACGAGGCCAAGAAGCTTGAAACGTTTCAGTACAGGAATGAAGAGATTGCGCCAAGTGATGTAGTTCTGACGATTGAGCTTTGTCCAAATCATTCCAGCAACATTCGCAATGGAAATCGACATGATTGAAGGATTAGAGATCTCGCTGGGAGGGAGATTCACTGGGGAATTAGGTGAAGAAGGAGAATTGGAGGAGTTCGCAGCAGTCGCCATAACCTAATTTGGTGAATTGAGGACGAAAAGAAAGAAATCCAAGATACAGCGACTTATTTGGGAGATAGGAAAATTCAAGAAACGCAAGAAAGTTTCAAGAAAGAGAGGGAAATAAAGGATCAAAGTCGGTTAGACAATGACTCTGATACCATGTAGAAACTGAGAATCTAGAGAGAGATTTCAGTTATAGAGAGAGAGAGAGAGAAAATTGTAGAGATAGAGAGTAAAATAAGATTGTGATTTCATTAATATCAACAGATCATTACACAAGGTATTTATACATAAATATCCTAACCCAACCATATGTGCAAGCTAAGCATAATTTTTCAGTTGAACACCGGCGCTGGAAAACGCCACCTGGAGAACGAAAGAGATTGTTGGGAGGAAGGATGGCTTCTTTTAGATCTGGTGTAGCAAATTGGATTCTGGAGGAGATTGGGTCAAAAGGGTAAGCCCTGGTTTGAAAATGGGTTGGAATCAAATAATATAGGAGTTTTATGTGGCAGAAAGTTCTGGCTTGAGCTGGGATTGAAGTTTTCTAGTTCTGCAAGGGTTTTGCGAGAGACATGCTGAAAGTGTGAGGAAGGTAGGGGAAAGGAGGGCAATGTTGGCAAATTGAAAAATTCATTAAAGAATTTACTATTCACCCGTGTTTTTCAATTAAGTTGGTTTTTTGAAGTTGCTTTTTGCAGCTTTAGATTTTTGACTTATTTTCATCCAAAACTTTGAAATAAAGCTGATTTGGAGTGTTTACCAAACACCAAAAACTCTCCCACCTTTTTTTGATACCCATTTTTTTTTAAATCACCTTAGTACCAAACCAGGGCTAAGACTCATTCTGTAAATCCTTAAAGCAGCTTATGCTATGCCCTGGCCTGCTATGGGGAAGTCTCTTCTCCCATTAACATTTTCAAAGAAAAAAATAATGAAATTTCACTTCTAACTTTCTCTTGGAGCATCTTCAAATGAGAGATATAAAAATCATATTTACATCTCATTTAAACAGATCTTTGCTCTAACTAGAGATGTAAATTTACATTTGGTCCCCCCTCTTGTTTGTTAAATATAATGTGTGTAAGGTAGTTAAGTTGGTTAGGATTCTATGAGCTGAGATTGTGACAAGTGTCAACATCTTGTGAGCTTTGTATTAGCTTAGTAGTTAAGCAATGTAATATATATACAAATTGTATAAGTGTAATATTGAATTATTCTCAATACAATACACAAATATACTTTCTTCCTTTGCAAGATGGTTATTTCTCCTTCTGTTTACATGGTATCTTTCACCTAAAAAGCTTCGACTTGAAGGTTTCTTGATCTTGGTTCTTCTACTTCCATTCCTACTGCGCTTCACGATCGATCTTCTTTTCTTGGGATCGTGATTGCTCTCTGCTTCTCTAAACTAGGTGCATCTTCTTCTTCGCACACCAAGTGTTTGTTCTAATTTCTCAGAGAAAATTTTCATCTGGGTTTCTTCTTTCGATCTTCTACAATGGTGACTTTTGCTCAGTTGCAGATTCTTCAATCTTTTATAACGTTTCTTATATCAACAGTCTCATCTTCTGTGACTGTCAAACTTGATGATTACAACTATTTGATTTGGAATTTTCAATTCAAATTGCTTCTTGAAGGTCATGGTCTTATGGGTTTTGTGGATGGGTATTATCTCTGTCCTCCTCGATTTATTGTGCTTACTTTTGGGGATTCCACTGTTTCTTCAAGTGATGGACCATCTACAATTAAAAGTAATGAGTTCAAGATCTGGAAAATGCACGATTGGGTATTGATGCAATTGATCATAACCACTTTATCCCCTCATGCTGTTTCTTGTGTAATTGGTAGTATTAGTGTTCATGATTTGTGGGTGCATCTTAAAGAACAATTTTTTATTGTTACTCAAGTTATGACCTTTCAGATGAAATCTGAGTTACAAAACATCAAGAAAGGTACTGATTCGATTTCACTATATTTGCAACGAATTTAAGAAGCTTATGATTATCTGTTTACTACTGGAGTTCAATTCGATGATGGTGATATTGTCATATTAACCCTAAATGGTTTCCCATCTGAGTACAATACTCTGCGATCCATTATTCGAGGTCGTGAGAATGTTATCTCCATGAAAGATCTTAGATCTCAGTTACTTGTTGAAGAAGCAATGGTTGAAAATGTTCCTATTACCCCTTCTTATCTGCAATGGTTTCTTGAAATAATGGCAGTCACTCAAAATCTTATGGTGATTCTCCCAAGGCTGAGGATTCTTCATCTGGTATTTCCTATGGGGGTTCTTCTCAATCCTATTTCTACTCTTCTGGGTTCAAGCTAAACTACAGTAAGAACAAAAACAGAGGTAAATTTCAAGCTCCTGGTATTCTTGGTACTTCTCCACCAAGGCAACATGGATTTTCTAGTACATTATGTCAGATTTGTGGAAAGTTTGGACATTTGGCTCCTACCTGTAGATTCAGGAATTTTGATAGTGCAGTATATGAGGGTTGTCAAATTGTCAGAAGAAGAATCATAGTGCCAAATACTGTCATTTCATGAACTCAAACGTTTCACCTCAAGCTCAGACAGCCATAAATGTTTCAACATCACAAGCTCATGAACCAAGTGTTCCTCCTCAAAAACTGTGGCTTATTGATTTCAGAGCATCTTCATATATGACTGTTGTTACACCCGCCCCTGCTTATAAGGATAATTCTGTAATTTTTCCCTAAAAATTTATAGAATTATCACTTTAGTCCTCATTTTGTCACACAACCAAGATCTGAAATTTAAATTATTACTCTACCTTAGACTGCCACGTGGCAGCACCCTAACCCACTTCCCTTTTTTTTTTCTCTTTTGTCCCCCCCACCTGCCGTGTCCCTCATCTCTCCTTTCTTCTTTTTCTTTTTCCTTTCTTTTCTTTTCTTTTCTTTTGGTTTGTCTGCATCTTTTTCCTTTCTTTCGAAAACTCCTCCATCTCTCTCTTCTTCTTCCCCGTGAAAGACACACACACATACTTACACCCACAGCTACACCTACGCGAGGAAATCATCACCATCGTCGTCGTTCAACTGCATCCCTCTCTCTCTTTCTCTCTCCCCTGCTCGCGGTGCCGGAGGACACGAACACCTCCGGCGAGTTTTAGCTTGTTTTCCGGTTGGGTAAGCATGGTTTCTCCCTTTTTAGTCTTATTAGATGTTGATTAAATGTAGTTACTGAGTTGGGTTCTTGATTGTCCAAGGTTTTGGAGTGATTTGGCACGGGTGAAGGCACCCAAATTTTCCGGCGAGTGTGTGTGGTTTCCGAGGGCATTTCCGGCCACCACAAGCCGTTTCACGGCGAACCCAAGGTATAAAACTACTCCTCTCCTCTAGTGCTTCATTTTGGTACCTAGATCGGAGTCTAGGTTGTAGGAATGGCGTCGGCCGGAGCTATGGAAGCTCCGGTGTTCTTCTCCGGCGCACCCAGGCCTTCGGGCCGTTCTCCACCCACACACACACGGGCCTTAGGCTCGTTTGGTCTCTGGCCCAATACCCTCACCCTTTCCTTTTTATTTTTAGTTATTTCATTTTAAAAACCCAAAAGGCCTTAGGGCCTTGGTTGCAGCCCAAAACCCATTTCCCCTTTGTCTTAAGGCCTTCGGGCCTGTTAACCAAAACCCAAACCCATTTTCTGTTTTACCCAACCTAACCCACCTAAAAACCTAAACCCATTTACCCAAAGCCCAAAACCTAATGACCCGTGACCCGTACCCGTTGACCCGTGACCCATGACCCGTACCCGTTGACTCTGACATGTTGACTTTGACCCGTTGACCGTTGACCGGGTCAACGTTGACTTTGACTTTGACTAGTCAACGATCAACGTTGACTTTGACCGTTGACTTTTTGAGTTTTCGTGCGGGGACCCTCCTAGGCTAATTTCGACGTTCTAAACCCGTTTCCGATGTCCGTTTTCTCAAATTCAATCGTTTGAGTAGAGTTTGACTGAAAGTACTCAATTATGTGTTTAGGTGCGATTCTTAGCGGTGATTCCGTTATTCCTGTTTGGTACGGCTTGCACCCTCGGTGTACAGTGAGTGGACCCCTTCTAAAAATGCATGTTTTAATGGTAGAATTGCATACACAGAAAAGCATGACTTTACGATTATGTTTTATGAAACGTTTTGAGATAACATGCTTACTAAGGCTAGTTTGAAGTATTACTATTTTTCCTATAACCCATGTTCTTATATAATATTTGATGGATGACGATATGATATTTAGAACATGTTTAGAACACTTCTTTATAGTATAGATGATGGATGACTTTATACTATGAAGTTGATTTTCAATATATGTATGTTCATTGGTTTTATACTTACCTAGTGGTCCTTTCCGCTACGGGACGAAGGGATAGATCCGGTCCGTCCCAGGCGACGGTTTGGTGTTGGCATAGGGCCTGAAGTGTGTTTTCCTCTGACTGTCTGCTCAGAGACGGGGAGCCGGCAAGGGGCCTGAAGTGCATTTTCCTCTGACTATCTGCTCAGAGACGGGGAGCCGGCATGGGGCCTGAAGTGTTATATCGGACATTCACTAGTGTTTATTATTTATGCGATTTAGGATTTGAGACATTTCACGATATGCTAGATTTCGGAAAACCTATATTCATTATTATACTTGTGTTTCCATAAACCTGGGGGTTAATATGTTGATAACTGTTTTACTATTACTGTATATATAAACTTGGTCCACTCACCCTTGTTTTGCGCCCCCTTCAGGACCTAGGAACGAGGATTACGACATAAGCTACGAGGCGTTCCCCTACCAGTGATTTGTGTCATTTTCGCTCCGCTTCACCACTTATTGTAATAGCACTTCTTTATTCTTAGTTCTGCTTGTACTCTATATTAGAATTATGCTCTGGACGTGCTGTGTGTTTACCTAATTTCAATATTTAGAAGTAGAACTTGTATTTGGGTTTTTAGCCTTTATTGCTTACTTTAGTTTATTTTCTTAGTTTTTGTTTAA